AGTCAAATGCCCCATTCTCTCTCTGTCCTCTCCCCACCCTGCACATGCAGCCTCAGAAATGCTGACAGGTGCCCATGCCAGGTCTGCGGTCACTGTGACCACAATATGTCACTTGACATGCTGAAGAAGCCCAGGCCCGGCTCTGAGCCCAGGAGTCTGACCTCACAGCCGATCTGTCTTGTGTTCAGGACTCTTATCCACTGTGGGTCGTGTGTGTCCCTGCTGGGCAGCAAATCCCACAGCCTTGGCTTCCAGCAACATCTAGAGCCATGCTGAGAATGAATGGGTGCCTCTGAGAAGCCTAACGAGGGGTGACCGGGGCAGAGAGTGGGCCTGAGGGACAGGACAGCGTCCCAGACCAGCCACTCTGGAACCTTCTAGAACAAGGTCACTCCATCACGACTCTTATGCTTTAAGTCTTCTCCCCAGAAACCTGCGCAAAAGCCCTCACCTCAGGTGTCTCGGGAACTGGCCTCCTGAGTGGCCACTGCTTTTTCCTCTTCCCACGCCAGAGTCTGCATGGTTCTTCTCTGAAGTCAGAGCTGCCTGGGATGGCTTCAACTCTGGTGGGCTGTGACACTTCAAATGTCCCTTGTTGCTCTCTGGGCCTGGCATCCCACCTTTACATGAAAAAAGACCACCAGAAACCCCCAGTGCTCCCAACTCCAGGTGGTCGTGGTGGCCCTGTCACAGGACGCATCACAGGAGAGGTGAACTGAATGCTCTATTTTCAACATTGTCTCTGCATAGGCAGTGCACAAGGGGGCCCTGGCGTCAAGAGAACATCCCGGAGCCACCCAACTGCCCTTGCTCCCCAAGTCCCTGCAGTGGGCTCCTCTCCAGAGAGCCCTGCAGGGTGCACTCATGGGCATGAAGAGCCATCCCAGGCCATACATGGCTCTTGGTTATCCTGAACCCGTTATCACCCAGTCTGTCTGTAGGGTGCTCTGCTTATGGGGGTCATGACCTAACGGCAGGCATGTGAGTTGTTCCCGAATCTTTACTATTTCAAACAATCCTGCGCCGGCAGCCCTGGCACACAGCACTCTGAAATGAACCATGGTATTGCTCCTGGCCTTAGAGTGATAGGGAAGGGGCGAGGGGGTACTACCCTGGAGTGGGCCCTGCACAGTGCGTGCTGCCTCACAGGGGCTCTCCTCCGACTAGAGTGTGCCTATGAGGTCAGAAGAGGCTGCTCAGGCCTATGGATTGGTCATCTGCTCTCTTGGGAGGGGCAACTTCCACCAGCCCATGAGGCCTCTTCTCCTGCCTCACATGGCAGCCACATGGCAGCCACATGGCCACCTCACAGCGCCCTGGGTCTTGTAAGTGTCCTGAGTGACCTGTGAGCTGACCCATCCCACTGGCCCCTGGCTGTGGGGCTGGAAAGCAGCTCTGAGTCGGTGCCCCTTTATTTAACACAATGGGGTTCATTAGAGAGAAAATGGCGATTCCTCGTCAGTGGGAGGATCGGGGTCCAGGCCGGCAGTCTCACCTGCATGCTGGGTGCTGGGTACACTCACCTGCCCTGCCCCTTGTCCACTGCCAGGCTCAGATCGACCGCTGCATTCCAGGTGCCCTGGTATCCCCCCCGCCAACAGAATCACCAGCAGGGAGGGCAGGAGCCACCTACATCTCCCCAGCAGGCCCCAGCACAGCTGTTCCCATTTCCCAGGCATGCCCAGTACACCCACCCCCCTCCCCACTCAACTCCTCCACTCATACCCCGGTGACAATGATCAGGGTCCCAGGGAGTAGCATTGATACTCTGGACCTGCTCAAGGTCACAGCTGATTGGTGGACAAGCTGGGCTCCACGTCCACACTTCAGCCCCCACGCCCAACCCCAGGGACTTGGCCACTTCCCAGAGCACCCCCTGCCACTCAGGCATTGTCAACTCAGTGTCAGAGCCCTGGGGCCAAGAAGTAAGATGTCTTGGAGAGGAAGCATCACCTGCAGGCCACCAGGCTGTCACATTCGGACATCACTGTCCTCCACCAGGGCCCTCTGTGCCAGTACACTCACCCCCAACTTCAGAGACCCGGCTGTTGAGACCTACAGCCCAGGCTGCCCAGCTACCCAGGCGGCTCCAGGCAGGTTGGTGCAGCCAACTCCTGCCACCTGAGGCTGTGAGTGTGCATACCAGGTTCAGGCAGAAACAGACAGAGACACAGAGAGAGAGAGAGGCAGAGACACAGAGAGAGAGACACACACACACAGAGAGACAGAGAGGTAGACTCAGATGGAGAGACAGAGTTACACAGAGACACAGAGAGAGACAGAGACACAGAGAGGCAGACTCAGAAGGAAAGACAGAGTCACAGAGAGAGAGAGAGAGAGACAGAGAGGTAGACTCAGAGGGAAAGACAGAGTCACACAGACACAGAGAGAGACAGAGAGGTAGACTCAGAGGGAAAGACAGAGTCACACAGAGAGAGAGAGAGAGACAGAGAGGTAGACTCAGAGGGAAAGACAGAGTCACACAGACACAGAGAGAGACAGAGAGGTAGACTCAGAGGGAAAGACAGAGTCACACAGAGACAGAGAGAGACAGAGAGGCAGACTCAGAAGGAAAGACAGAGTCACACAGAGACAGAGAGAGACAGAGAGGTAGACTCAGAGGGAAAGACAGAGTCACACAGAGACAGCGATACAGAGTGAAAGGCAGACTCAGAGAAAGTCACACAGAAAGACAGAGACACAGAGAGAGGCAGAGTCAGAGGAAGAGACAGAGACACAGAGTCACACCGAGACAGAGACACACAGAGAGAGACAGAGACGCCTACACACAGAGGGAGACAGGGACACAGAGACACTCAAGCTGTGTTGCTTACTTGGGTGTCAAGCACCTCCTGCCTTAGAGGGACATGGACCATTGGACCCTTGCTGCCACCAGCAGCTCCTCCCACAGCTTCTCCCACAGGTGGGGCTCACAGTCCCCTCCGGCTTCCCTGCTCTCGACCGCATCCCTCCCCTGCCACTTGGAATTGCAAATCAGGTGGTCTTGGGGCACAGCCTACCAGTGTCCCCCAGAGTATTGGGCCAGGTGGCTCTTCTCTCTTTAAAGGAAAATCAGAGGGTGCCATATGTGCTGTGGGATCCGGGTCTCAGGCACCCTGCTTATGGCCCAGCGTGACCTCCAAGCTGGTGGAGTCCATTAGACAGTGTCTTTGGAGGCCACCCTGTGGGGCCGGAACTGGGACACTGTAGACTTTCCCAATGAGCCTGCTCACTGTCCATGAGCCCCCTCCTTTCTGCTTGTCATGGCAGCAGGGGTTGCTCCCCACTGTTGAGGACAGGAAAGGGGACACAGGCTAAAGTCACTGGTCTGAGCTGTGAGCCCCTCCCCACATCCCTATGATCCTGAGTCAACTTCAGTCTCCAGGGTGGAGACAGGTGGGGGAACCAGAAGGGCAACCTTCCCTCTGCAAGTCAGTGCTGGCCCCGCCCTCCGTCCCCACGAACACATGGCACCGCAGCAGCCTCTGGTCAGGGACCTGCAGAGAGGGGCCTCCTCTCATGGCCTCCAGGAACCTCAGGACCAAGGGCCTGTACTTCCTCCACTGGGGGAGCGACTGGGAGCCTGGGGCCAGGCCCTCCAATCCATATGCCCCAGGGGTAGCTATTTTTGCCGCCTGTGCTCAGTGAGGTATGGTATGTTAAATGTTTTGACATTTAAAATCTGTGTTGGATACATTTGTGTGTTTAAATTATAACCGGGCTGCAGTGACTCACAGGGAGTTGATTTTGTCTCCCAGGGCCAGGCTGGTCGCCCCTTTCCCCCCACAGCTCCTAGCATGAGAAGAGGAACTTCCCACCTGTCCTCATCTTCCTCAGCATGGCGTCGTCCTGTGGAAGGTGGGCTTCAAACAAAAAACAACAGAGATGGGGGGATGGGACTGCACTCAGGAAGGGCAGGACGGACTTCGGCCTACGCAGGTTCAGCAGCACAGCTCTTGGGGGCCCACACAGGAGACAGGAGTGACAAGCACTGGGCTGGCGGGAGACGCAGCCTTCTAGGGGTCTAGAGTGATTCCTCTCCATGTTTGTTCTCATGGCCTGTTGAGCAGAGCTTCGCTCAAATGGAAATTATACGTAACTCAGGCCACCTCCTCCCTGAAGGCCTCCGAGTCCTCCTGAGTGGAGTCTGAAGCCGCCATGGGGGTGAGCGAGATCTTCAGAGGCACCTCTGCCAGTGCTACAGGGATCCAGGGAGGGAAGCTGCCAACATTTCAGCACCCTCTGGAACCTCCTGTGGTTGCCCTGGGTCTCACGGCTGGAGTGGTCCTTTCCAGGGGTGAGACCATAAGTCCTCCCTGCAAGACACCAGTGGTGCTCTGGGTGAGAGGAGGCCAGGAAGGAGGTGGCGTGGAGCCCAGCCCAGGAAGTCCTGGGGGTAGATACCCCTGAGCTTCCTTCTGAATTGCAGGGCCAGTGTGGCCACATCTCCAAATACAACCCAGGCCTGCTGGGATATGAACTCAGCAGGGATGTCCCAACAGCTCAGCAGTCAGGGCCGCAGCCTCCACTGGGTGGGATCTCTACTGCAGGAGTGAGCCCCAGGTGCCAGGGTGAGGTGGGAGGAGAAGCTCCTCAAGGTGGTGTGCAGACTCAACTCCCAGGTTGTGCTCCATCAGAGGCAGGTCCATACCATCCTGGCTCCTTCCTGCTGGGCCATGCCCACTGCGGTGTCCATTCCTGTCCTGCGGAGCTCTAGCCCCAGATCAGGAGGCTGTTGGGGGACTCACAAAGGTGGCAGAGAGTCTTAATGTTTTCCGAATCAGGATGGGTAAGGACAGGCTGAGGGTGGAGCTTGGAACAGGTGGCCAGAATGGCCTGTGTCTTCCAGGCAACCTGGATGGGGCAGGACCTTCTGAACTTGCACATTGGCCTCCCACATCCAGACCCTGAGCCTCCAGCCAGGCTGGTACCCAGGATGGGCACCCAGGATGGCAGGGTGTCTCCTGTGTGGGTCTGACACCAGCCCTCCTCTCCTTCAGATCAACACCTTCATGTCCTTCGTGTTCCCCATGGTGGTCATCTCAGTCCTGAACACCATCATCGCCAACAAGCTGACCATCATGGTGCGCCAGGCAGCTGAACAGGGTCAGGTGTGCACAGTGGGCGACCAGCGTGGCACATTCAGCATGTGCATCGAGCCCAGCCGGGTCCAGGCCCTTCGGCACGGCGTCCGCGTCCTACGTACGTAGTCCCTGGGCCCCCAGGGCAGGTGGCGACTCAGGAGTTAGCAAAGGCAGCAAGCACTGCCCCCCAACCAGGGCAAGGTTTAAAGACATCACATGGCACCATCAGGCCCAGCTGCAGGGGTGCTGACTCCTCCCAGTGGCAGGGGAGTGCTACTGTGCACCCCACCCATCCTCCATCCACCATCCTTCCACACCCCATCCATTAATCCACCATCCATCTATCAATTTATCATCTATCCATCATCCATCCACCCATCTATCCCTCTACCTATCATCCACCCATCCCTCTACCCATCCATCATCCACATACCCACCCATCTGTCCATTTATTCACTTCTCCACTCATCTATCTATCCAGCCACTCATCCACTCATCCATCTCCATCTACCTACCCATTCACCAGCCCATCCACCCATCCATCCATTCACCCATCCCTCTGTCCATCCATCCATCCATCCACCCATCTATCCATTGTTTAACTCATTCATCTGTCCATCCACCCATCCCTCCATTAACTCATGCATCCATCCATCCATTCTTCCATCTACCTATCCATCATCCATCCATCCATCCATCCATTTATTTATCCACTCATCTATCCATCCATCCACCCACTCATTCACATTCACTTCCTCACTCATTCAGCACATCTGCTGAGTGCCTGCTCACGGACATGAGGGCAGCAGACACAGGGTCAGCCCAGCATGGGGAACAGGGGCTCCACTGGTGAAGCGAATGCACATAGCAGGCATGTTGGATAGGGATGACCTCAAAAGAGAAAAAATCCTCTGACTGGATCAGCAGCCAGGAGGGGCTCTCAGAGCAGGTGGTGTCCTAAGCAGGGACTAGGAGCAGGTCTCAGTAACAGGGCTTTGGGCAGAGGGAATGACTAGTGCAAAGACCCTGTGGTGAAAGGGTGCATGGGGAGCAGATGCAGACCCTGCCATCCACATGGGCCTCTGGGGGTGTAACAGGAAGTGACTCGGGGGAGGCTGAAGCTTTCCACTCCTGAGACTCATGTCTTCTGTCTCATCTGCCTAAAGCACTTAGCTGGGCTATTCCCGATCCTGGCCCATGTTCAGGGCTTGTTCTAGGGTATGGCCCTGGATCACAGGGTGTGGCTGCATGGCACGTTACCCCGAGAAAGACTGGCCCTGGAGTTCAGGCCTTTCCTGTTCATGGGAGTCACTGGGGGCTTTGGACACCACGCATGCCAGAGGTGGCTCCTGTGATGAGGGTGCCTCCTCCCCTCCCTTGGCACCTGGTCCAGGCCTCCTTGAGGCTTGCCCTGGGGAGGGGCCTCAAGGCCATGGTTGGAAGGGCCCAGGGCCAGAAATAGGTAGGGCATTCCTGTCCCCAAGTAGTGCTATCTCCAGAGATGTCATCTGCTGACACCTGTTGCATCTGGGGTTAGCTGCATCTGTCATCCATGATACAGAGGCCAGAGTCCACCCCCAGGAGGCCACCACTGATCCTTGCCTGGACTGCCCCTCCCAGCCCATCACTGTCCTGACCGAGTCCCTACCTACCCCACCTGGCTGTCTCCTTGGTAACAGAGATCTTGCCCACTAGAAACACCCAGAGAGACAGAGGCGGCCCCTCCCTTTCCCAAGTGAGGACATCAGACAGGCCAGCCCTGCGGGCTCTGTGGGTCAATGTCCATTTGTCTGCCTGTCCACCTGTACCTTCAGCAACTCTGGGAGAGCAGGGTGGGCTGCCCTCAGGGGGCTTCACACTGTGTTTGTTTCAGCTAAGAACACTGGTGGATTCTTGGGGACCTGTCCGAGGCCAGGTGGTCACTGTGGTGTCTGCCCCACAAATCCCCATCGCCAGCCTCCCTGAAGGCCCAGCTTACCTCCAGGACAAGTTCTGGAGGCATTGCCCAAGACTCTGTTCATACCCCCAGCAGGGGAGGGCTCCCTAGGACCAAGAGAGTCCCGAAAAGAGACGGGGGTATGGGGCACAGAAAGGGGGACAACACAGCTGCGCCTGGGGCCCTCTTGCCCCTGCCCCCACTCCTACC